GCTCCGGCTGCTCCCTGGCCCCAGTCTGTGGCAAGAGAGAAGAGTCCCCTGCCAGTCATAAATACAGCAGGGAAGCTGAGGAGGCCGGTGGGAAATACATGGGGGGGGGGGGAATCCATCGTACCTGCGAGAGAGATTTGTGTGACAGTAAATGGAATGGTTTCATTGGAAGTTGGGCAAGAATGGGCCATTTCAATATTTAAGGTTTAAATCTAGAAATCAGGGGTTCTAGTTTTGGGTACCACAAGTTCCCCCTGTGACTTGTGCAGACAAAGAGAGGATCAGAGTCTTGAGCTCTGTAACCAGGTTTTTAAAAACGAGGACCCTTCTGGTCCCATGTCCTGGAGTTCTGCCTACAGTTTGGGAAATAGCTGGTTGCCACTTCCTTTGAAAAGACATTTTTTCCAAAGGAATTATAGAACTTCTTTTGCTTCCCTTCAAAAAGGGCTTTGTGAGCTAACTGTTTCTGCTTGTATTAAAGTAAGAGTATTTTTAGTGAACAATCAGTCATGATTTTTGGTCCTAAAGACCTTTTATAAGTGTGTTTGTCTTTTTATCGCTCTCACATTTATATAACTTTATATAATCTGGCATAGTGACTTTCAGCTTCATAGTGAAGCTTAGAATACTCAACCTATTATTTGCATGTTAACGATTGAACCTGTTGCTATGCCTCCTTAGCTGCACACTTTTTAAAAGCTACTTTTTTTAGAAAAGTAAACAGAACTTTTTTTTTTAATGTCTTGATCATTTTGGCCCACAAGGTGAACCACATTATGGCCAATGTTTGTCCTTAATACTGTACTGTGATAATGGAACAATAGGGACTGGATGCAATTGCTTAGCATGTTCTTCAAGGAGAAAATGATCTTTAAGATATGTGGACTCCAGCTCCCAGAATTCCTCAATCAGTATCTTGTCGGGGGAATTCTGGAAGTTGAAGTCCAAATATCTTTAAAGTTGCTAAGTTTGAAAAACACTGTTTTAGACCATCCCTTGCTGTCTCAAGATGGCTGTTTGCTCAAAGGAGAATGAAATGCAAAGGCTGTTAATCAAGTATTGTACTTCTCAGGGAGAGAAACCAGCTGTTTTTACAAAGGTTCACAGACTTCAACTGGTGGGAATTGTAATACACTACAACATTTTTGTTTACATTTAGTGGTTTTGGCGGAAGTGATCAAGGCATTTGGATCTCCGGAAAATGCTCAGCGCCTGGAGGAAGCCAGGGACAATGCCTGCAATGACATGGGGAAGATGCTTCAGTTCCTGCTTCCTGTGGCTACCCAGATACAACAGGATGTGATCAAAGCTTATGGTTTCAGTAACGATGGGGAAGGTAAGTTCATGACAAACTTAATTGGCAGCAGCAGGGAGAGCCTGATTTAGCTGTTGTGCCTGGTTGGTTATCCAGTACACCCAATGATCTGAGCCATGGAAGGCAACCTTTATTTATATTTTTCAAATTTAGAACCGGCCCATCTCTCTTGCGGAGGGACTCTGGATGGTATACAAATACACACACCAGAGGTGGTATTCAGCTGGTTCTCTCAGGTTCGGGTGAACCGATAGCGGCTGCTGCAGGAGGCTCCCCCCTCCCCCGACATAATGTGCGAGAACTGTGCATGCAGAGAAGGCGGTACCCCTGGAGACTCTCCATAATCAAGTCAAGAAAATTAGTAGCAAAAGGGGAAGAAAGTATTTTGGTTTTTTCTTTTCATGAATTAAATAATAATATATCCATGATATGGAAAATTAATGCAGCTCTTGAAGAAAGTTACCCATCCTGGATTGTATTATACAGTCCACAGAGATGATAAGAAAAGCGGTGTGGTATAAGAATTGTCTTAACAATACTTTCTCTCTCCCCCCCCCCCCCCCCCCTGCCCGGTTTTCTAGGAGTCCTAAAGTTTGCCAGATTGATAAAATCATACGAGTCACAGGATCCTGAAATTGCAAGCATGTCTGGGAAGCTGAAGTCTATGTTTCTGCCTCCAATGACTCTACCTCCCCATGGAGCTGGGACAGGAGGCGCAGTTGCCACATCATGAAGCAGGCTGCCTGTAGTGGGATCTGTATTATTTTTATGCTTCCACATCAGTCTTAACTTGGCTTAAACTTGGGCATTGTTTTCTTTCGTTATCATGGAAGAGGTGTTTTGACTTTTTCTATAGTCCTTAATATTTTTGTGCTTATGAATAAAAACTTGTAAAT